CCCCAAAACCCCAAAACCCCAAAACCCCTTATAAACTCCCTTGTCCTAAATAATATATAATATTTCCCTAAAATGTCTTCTTACAGCCGTCAACCCCCTAGTTCTCTCTACACCAAGAAGCCTACCGACATCTCCCAGCACCCAAGAGACAGAGGTAAGCCATATAGACTTAAAAGAAAGACAGAGGTCTCTTCTGAATGGGGAGAAGGATAGTTGGGGGGAAGGGAGTGGGGTTAGGGGGTTTTAGGGGATATGTGGGGATTTTGAAGGGAGGAGGAGAGAGGTGGGATAGGTTTTAGGGATCTTTGGTTGGTGGTGGTTGGGTTTAGAGAGTGATTTTGGTTTTTGGGGAGAGGTATGATAAAGTTTTGGGTGTTTTGAGATAGTGTAGGAAAAGTTCTAGTTGTAATGTTAGCTTTAGGGTTACCCTTAGAGCTTTAATTAATTTAAAATTTTCATTAGTAAACTTTTAAGTAATTATCGATATCTTGATTCTAATTCAGAAGAATTTTTAAAGATAAATTGATTAAAGATATGAAAATTTATTTCGAATTTGATATAGTGGTTTCATGCTTATAAAAACGGATTGTAAACTTTTATTATCAAGATGCTAAGCGAAATTTTCATTCGTCAAGGCAAAGATAAATTTATGTCATTAAATTTTAGTGCTTCAGAAAATTTGTAGAGATAAAATTAATTTTTCAGCTTCTCACGAAATCCTTTAGGAAATTTTGATTCAAAGTATAATCCTCTATCTGAATATGGCTCCAAATTAAAAAATAAAATCAGAAGGCGAAAATCTCAAGAAATTGATAAATTACCAAAAGATACGCATGTAAGAAATAAAGCTTCTCAAAATCCTTATTCCAAAGATGAAGATGCAAAGGAATACCTCCAGGTTCATTTCATTTAATACCAAGCCTAACTTCATCACCAACAAACCTTACTAAATAACAATCGATTCTTCTCTAAGTCCTTTCTAAGCCTAAAATTTCATTGTTCCCCTTTTCCGCGGAATTTTCCGAAACTTTAAATTTAAATTTCCCTCCTTTACTATGGTCTAGAATGAATCCTTAAATAATGATGATATCCTTCCTGATTCCTTCAATAAGATATGAAAACAAGTAGCATCAATGGAGAGAGAAATTATTGAGCCAGATCTTAAACAACTTGACCATGACAGAGACTTAAGAGAACAACAGGTTAAGGACAGGATTGAGAAAGCTGGTGAATATCAACAAGAAATTCAGAAAACTGTAGACGAGCTACAAGAAAATATTAAGCTTGAAAATCAAATGATTGAAGAACAGGCTTCAAAGAAAGGTAGGAATATTAAGTTCTTATTATCCTAATGCAGCTTTGCCTAAAGATCATAAAGTTTTTACAAAAATAGAAGATCCTTTCTGTCTGACTCTTGTTGTCTAAATCAAAGATATTTTTGCAAAGTTTTGACAGATATATTATTTCTTAAATAAAATAAATCAAGCCTTCAGTTAAAGATTCAAATAAGGCCTGTTTCCATAATTTTTCTTTAGAATTTGAGAGATCTGAACAATTCAGAGTAAAGATTGAAGAAAGCATTGGTGAAGCACAAGCTATATTACAAAATTGCTCTGACAAGACAAGTAAGTATCTTATTTTAATTTTCTCTTTCTGATTTTAATCAGAAGAAAAAATAAATTGGTATATTATTGATTTTATAGACACCCAAAAAAAGAACATTAAAGAGATATGCAACATCATAAATAAATTATCAAGTTCTAGCATCAAAGATTGAAAGATACTAAATATTGATCAATTGATTAAAGAATTAGAGGAGATAATCCAGAACGAAAATTGAGAGCCTGAAAATATTAATTTTTGTGAAGATGAAGTACCTGGAAAATTGAATAATACATCAGAATTCAATGGATCTAAATTCTTAAATTATCCCAATCATAATTCTAGACTGTGCGTGAAAATAATCCCTCTAATTTTATAGAGAAAAACCATCATCTGGAGAATCAAGAGATAAAAATTATGTAAATTCTAGAGAGAAATACAACAACAAACAATATTTAAGTGAATATCAATGTAAATCTAATTGTTAATTACCTCTAATCTCTCTCATAAATCCCAAAACTTATAATCTAGATGACTCACTCCCCAAAAAGTCAAACTCAAACATAACAGAAAACTTAAAAGGTAAGGACAAAAAAATTATTAACAGATGAGACTCTGATTGATGCCAATAAGATCAAAGAGGCTCTGACTCAGGCAAAAGAGCATAATGGTTCAACCCTGAATGTGTTTAAATCTCTGGATACTAACATTAAGAATTACTTAAATAGTTCTGAAGTTTACCAAGCAATTCAAGATCTTCAATCCCAGAAACATTTTGAAGATATTAAAGAAAGTGAAGAATCAAAGAGAATTCGTTCTGAATTACAAGTCCTTGAAAACATAAATTTTGGTAACAAGAATTAAATGAACTGTGCTTAAAATTCTTTTGTAGATGAATTAAAAACAAAAGCATCAGAATGTAAAAGTTTGAAGAACCAGTTAATCTATCTTAACAATAAATATGTAATTCATCATACCTTTAAATTTAAATAGAAAACTCTTGATGGCACAATAAGTCGTTATAAAAGTTATGGATATAAAGCAACCAAAATAAACCCTGTAAGAACTGTACATTATAGTAATTTTACTTTGATTATTTGAGTATATTCAGAAGTGAAGTTAAGAAAACTACGGAGCAATTTTTTTTTAAACTAGTCTTTAGAAAGTCATATAAGTTTTTTAATAGAATTGTAATGGTAGAGATGGGTTCTAACATCTTGAAAAAGATAGATTTTGTATAGTCACAATATTATAAAACTGTAATATTTGTTTTACCTTTGTTGGTCTTTCATTTTCAAGTCTTAATTTATATTAGATTAAAAAATATAAATTTCCCAATGCAGAGTATAAACATTTCTATAGAAATTATTTTTAGAATAATTACCAGCAAACAAATTTCCCCTAAAAATACTATCTTAATATAACTTTTAATATCAAAATAGGTGAAAAGAGATTTAAAAGTCTGAGACAAAGGTAATTATGATGCATAAAAAATAGAAATTGAAGAACATAAAACTCTTTATAATCATTTAATTTCCGAAATACAAGGAGAGTTGATATCATTATTGAGCATTTTTGAAACTTATTATTCCAAAAGAAGTTATCCGGTTCGAGTAATTAATGATATTACCACAAACGGAAAAATTGACTTTCATTATTTTGATAGATATATGAATGGCCTCAAGGAAGAAGTTATTTCTTTGAAGACTACTTTAGAATCAGAGCTCAGAAAGGAAGGTCAGGGAAATTTGTAATTTTTTGTCAATTTTAATACTTTTATAGGCCCTAACTCACAAAATTCGAACAATCTACTTGAAGATTCAAATTATACTGATTCCTTGAATACTATTATCTCTGGATTTATTGACAACTACCTTAAAAATCGGATTTGCTCTATTAATTATAATCTACAATGAAATTTGGAACAAATTGAACAGGAAATAATATTCCCAACAGGAGACAAAGTAAAAATTTTAAATAAAAATTCTTTTGCTAAAAAGAATTACAGTAACGAAGAATCCAAAGAATTCTCAGAATGGACTCGTCTGAACCCAAAATATAAAGATTCTGATAATGCTGCTTTGCTAGGTCAAATTGGAAAGAATTTATCGACTTCGAAAGACAATTCTTTTTATTACAATGAGAGATTAGGGAAATTCAAAATTGAATGAACAAGATGAAGCTATCCCAATTGGATATCAAAAGAAACTATTGAAAGTAATTATAAGAATAATCTAACTTCAAAATTTTAAATAAAAACAATAGAATTATGGTTTTACAAAAATACAACTTCAAAGCTTGATTATTGCCATATTTTATCAAATATCAAGCTTTATGCTTATAGTATAAACTTAATAGAAATATATGATTGCTTTTAGCTTCTCAAATATTTTAAATTTAGAAATAAAACAAAAAGTTTTGAATGACAATCAGTCTCTCAATATGAGCCAGACTACCCGAGAAAAAATCATTAAAGCTCTCGGTGTATTAAGTAAGAAGACATCAAACAATATTTTAGAAAATGAAGTTAGCCTTCATAATGGAGAGATTGAAGGAAAACAAAAGATATTGAATGAAACTATTGAATATTCTCAAACATTGTTAAAAGATCTCAAAAAAGCAAATACAATTGATTTTAGTAAAAACATAAATTGATATACAGACTTCAATGCTAAATTTGAAGAAAACCTAAATGACGCACTTAGGCTAATTCAACAAAATAAAAGAGCACTTATTTCTCCTAAGAATATGGAAAAACAAGATTCGAGCAAAAATACATTAGACTATATTATAAGGCAGTTTTCTAATAAGAAAGAATATATTTCTGATCACTCTTCTTTTAAAAATCCCCCAAATTGCAATAAAAAGCTTATAAATGAAGTTTCAAATCTCAAAGGAATGGTCGAGAACTTCTTTAATAAAGTCCATAAAATAGAAGCGAATAGTAATATTAGACCGCAAGGAAGTTCTTCTGTAAGTATGTGATCTCAACCCTCCAAGGTCAACAAAGCTAAAAGAAGACAAAGCAACTTTAGAGATAGAGGTGAAGGTAATATTTTGTCCTAAAATTAGTAGTAAATGATGACATTTTAATCATTAAGCTAACTACGCTTTTAATATGTTATTTTATAAATCCGCAGCTTAGTGTCTAAAGTATTCAATGTTTCCTATTTATAGTATTTCTAAGTTAAAGTAATTGTAAAACAAATCCTCCAATATGCCAGGAGTATTCCTTAGTTGCTCTAGCTTAAATATCTAGAGCACCATACTGATTTGGTTTGATTTTATTAAATATTTTGGAAAATTTAAGTTAAGAAATTATGGCTGAGTTTAATATTATAGCAACTACTGACAATGAATATCTTCAAAAGAAAAATATCGAGTTAGAACATAACCTCGAGGAACTAAAAGAAAAATATTCAAAATTAAAAGCAAAGAAAAAAGAAATTAAAAAGAAAAATATCGAACTTGAGAATAAAAATACAGAGCTTAAGAACACTAATGCCCAATTAGAAAAGCAGATCGAGAAAGATATTGAAGAATATAATGAGCTTGTCAAGCGATATGAGAAATATAGAAACAGATGTCGAGCATATAAATCAAAGGAAGAAAGTAAAGGAACTCCAAAAGTTCCAAGAAAACCTAGAAGAAACCTCTCTCATCCTTCTGTACTCTGATTATAACCTCTAGAAAATGAAATCCAGAAACAAAATAGACAAATCCCAATCTCCTAATCTGCAAATACCTATTCTCCCCTCAATGCTCGGGGGATACAATCTCAATTTCATCCTCACAAGCAAAGATGTTATCAATCAACCATCAGACTCAGACTAAAGTGTAGCCAAATAAAAAATCTCATTTAATGCAGCATTTCAAGTAGGTTTCAATATTAAAACCTAAGTTTGGGGTTTTGGGGTTTTGGGGTTTTGGGG